CTTCAGAGTTGTTCCCCTCGGGCACCACTTCTTTCTGTGCTGTAGGTCTCTTCTGATGGTCCTGAAGAGTGCCCGGTTCTCTCTCTTTTCAGGATGGAGCTGCAGCAGGGCTTAAGCTTAAGTTGGGGTCGGACCGGCCCAGCATGGCTGGGCAGGGCAAGGGCTGTGCCACCCCCACCTGGGGCTGCGCTGATTGGGGCCGGTGCCAGAGACAGTGAGAGGCATGCCCTGCACCCCCCTTAAATACATGAATTCGCAGTGGCACTGATTGGCTTGGCCCTGGTCAGAGGTGGGTCTGACAAAGGCAAAGGGGGAGCTCTTCAGGTAGCTTCTTAAAAGGGCCATCTCCATAGCCCTTCCCCCATTACCAAAGACACAACCAAAAACTCCTCACAGAAAACCCAATACAAATCTATTCTGATCCTCAGTTTCCTTTGCCAATGTAGGTATCAGGTGAGTCCAGAAGGCCTGCTGTAGTGGCATTAAGTATCTTCTGTAGCAGCCGCATCAATGGCTTAACACGTTACATCACAGGGTTTTACCAAAAGTGTTTTTTCTAGCTGTGTCTTCAGAATACTTGTGATTTACCAACATGTCCTTGTCATGCAGGAGCCTCCATTTGTCCAACAGTTTTATCTGTTCAGAGCTTAGAATATAACTTGTTTTGTCTATATACACCTGTATTAGTCTATTAAATAGTATTTGACATGCAACTTTAAACATCCCATGTTTTAAAATGCTTCTGCTGCAGTATTTTGCTCTTCTGTTAAAGCTAGTGTGTTGTTTGTATAACTTAATAACCCATAGTCCTAAACTCTCTTGGATGGAATATATTTGGTGGCAATGGCTGTGCAAGATCTGTGCTTAGTGTGCAGAGCTACAAGGATTGGTGTAGGCTTTGTTTGCTAGTGCATGATTTTTGGTATTAACGGTTGTTTATTTAATTGTGCTCTCATCTTGTCTGAGAGGGAGATAGCACTATAGTTACAGAAATTCTTTCATTTTATGTGATAAGAATGAGTGCATTAATACCAAGATTAAATTAACTGCTGCTGTTTAAAAAAACCCAACTTTTTCCACCCCCCCCCTTTTTTTTTTTCTCTTCCTACGTTTTTGAGTTGTAACTTCAAGTGAGTCAGGGTATCAAATAGTAGTCTATGAGTACTATTTCAGGGACGTGTAAATAATTTACTTTGAATTAGATATGGATGATTGTGTGTATGCATGTGGAAACAGTTCCAAAAGCATGCAGCTTTATTACGAATGACTGCTGTAGCAACTTCTACCAGGGTATTTGACAGATGCTGAAGGTCTGTGCTCGTGTAATTTTTTTAAGTTTTTTAATTTAAGTTTAACTGTAGTGCACTCTGTGAAAATTAGAATTAAAATAGCACCTGGATATCCACTTTTTGAAACTTTTCTTTTGAAAAGTATCCAGCTTTGGAGTAATTTTGTTGTGTTGGGTTCTTTGCCAGTGTACATTTTACTTCTGCATGTGGCCATGGTTAAAGCAGATAGGCTTAGTAACTTAATGGCAAACAGTTGCTGTCATACCATCTGTGCAAGCCAAAAGGTGTAAGCAATATGATGTTGACCTAGAAATTGCTGTTCTAGTAAATTCTGGAGCGGGTTTGTGTGTTGTATGCTTTATTAAGAAGACTCTGACGGATTGCAGATGCCTTAATTCTAGTGCATCACTACCCTATATCAAGAACATTAAGGAAAGATACTGGAAACTGTATTCCACACAATTAGACACCATGCTTACATGATGATAAAATGAAGTTTGTGTAAATTGCAGTAAGGTGAATTTCTGTGGCTGTATAAAAACAAACTTTTTTTTTTCTGTTGCGCTTCTTTTATTTCTTTTTAATTATGAATGTCTTTGTTACCAGTCTGTAGAAGCTGCCTAGTGAAATATTTGGAGGAAAACAACACCTGTCCAACCTGCAGAATTGTTATACACCAGAGCCACCCGTTACAGTATATTGGGTAAGTATGAAAGCAAAAGTGCAACTGGCTTCACTCTAGACTCTTTCAGCCTCTTTAATACACCACAGCGTTTTCTTAAATTTTCTTACCTGGTCATCAGCATGTTAAACATTTAAAAGGAAGGGTGAAGGCGATTGAGGAGATACGAGATCAAACTTTGCTGTGAATTTGCAACTCTGAGTGAGTTTTAATGGGATTTAGTCATTCTTCATTTTGTATGCCTGTGTCATAAAAGTTACATAAATGAAACATTTGTAGAAATTATACTTTTACAAAATCCTCAGAATAATTAGTCTCAGTTGAACAGTGCTTTTCAGTATCTGCCAGAGAAATGAGAAAAATAATTGCCAGCTTTATTGCTAAGTTAATGTTTCAAAGGTCTGTTTAGTTCATAGGAACAGGTAAGAAGATGGCAGCAAAAATATTGGACCAGAGGCTGTAATCTGTAGAACAGAACAATCTTGTTCTTCTTTCTGTTTTGATCTGTGCACAGAGTGCTTTCACTTTCTGACCTAACATGAATGTGGTACTGTTCATTGGTTTCTGATATTTCACCCCTACGTGTTTTTCCCTTACATTGCTCCAGCCAATCCTGGTTCAGGAGACTGGAACTAGTTATGCCATCTTTGCATTGGAAGAGTAATAGTGCACACTGATAACATGTTATATGGTATGCTGATAATACTCTATATGAGTGTATCGTCTGAAGGGACAAGTACATGCTAGTAGACAAGAATGAATAAAGGACATTTAACACAGCATGTTTGTCTTATGTAAAGCTACACCAGTGCCTTGGTTTGGAAGCTTGTTTTCTGTGCCAAAAGGGTCCAGGAAACAGCATCAAATTGAGAACAGCTGTGAAAGAATTTGCTACTTGGTTTAGGTCATTGAATCCACTTCAGAGGAAGTATTTTGCCTGAACTAGTTATAAAAGACTGCCCCTTCAAGACTGAAGCAGCCTTTTCCCAGCCTATTTTTGGAAATTATTTTTTTTTTAATAAAGAATTGATGCTCAGGAGTTTCACAGTGCATCTTCGATTGTAGATTTGTACTCCTGTTCATCTGCCTCTGTCTGGAAAATAAGTAAACCAGTGTGTCTCTTACTTCACGTTTCTGAATGCTGTTAAATTCTCACCTCTGATCTAACAGCGATGGCTGATTTACTCATTTATGTTGAAATATTTTTGGAGATGTTCCTGCAATCCATATGTGACACTTGAATATCCTAACCTGGGCACATGGGCTTGCTACTGGTTGAAATATGAATGAATTTTAGAATTAAGAATATTTCGATTCTTCTTGTAGAGCTACGTAGAAGACTGTAAAGGTCGATTATAAATCTCTGATTTGTTGCCATTTCTGTGCTTGTTCACTCGCCTGCACTGCTGTGAAGTGCTCATGTCAGGGGATGAGAAGCCTGAGATTACTCTTGGAAGTCTCTTATCCTATTAAATACAGATTCAGGTTTTGGTATTGCAAGCCCTATTGGGGTAATGGCCTTGCAGCAGCTGAGACAAACATTTGAAATGTTTCTGATTTTATTTGTCAATTTAAATTTAATTTTAAATTTGTCAATTTGTCAGTCTAGTGTAATATTTTGTTTCAGACAGTAACTTATTTTGGACTGAAACAGAATTTTGTGTAGGTGAGCTCAGAATTACTTTAGAATCTTAGCTGGTCCTGCTGCCTTCCAGTGAGTTTATAACCTTTCTTTTATTTGAGCCACACTACCCATACAGGCTTCTGAGCTGCATAATGTTGCTCATAGTTAAAATGTTAGCCTGTAAGAACAAAGTAAAATTTTATTGTTGCAGACCTTTTCTGTGAGCTGTTTCCTTGCATTTTTGGAAAAGCCCATTAAAGATGACTAAGTAATCTAGAAATGTGAGAGATGAGTCTATAGGGGTAAGAAAGAGACTATCTTTGATTCTTTTTGTAATAAAAATAAGTTTACCTCAAAGTTGTCAAAGAATTTTGAGATTATTAGTGAGATACTTGCCTTCATGCAGTAGGTCGTGTTCTGTGGCACATCATGCTCCACATCTCCAAGACTGTTTTTCCTCAGACTTCCATTGGGTTTCTGTCTTAGCCTGTACTTTTTCATAACTTGTTTAATGTTACTGCCCTCTCATGTTTGATATAAATACTGATTCAAGAACTGAAATTCTTCTTAGGAAGATCTAGATATTTTACGTCAGTTTTTTAAGATAAATGTTTTGAATCAAGATGGTTGACTTAAACTTTTGATTTTGTTGTTGTTGTTTTTGCTAGTCATGACAGAACAATGCAAGATATAGTTTATAAACTTGTGCCAGGCCTCCAAGAAGGTAAGTTGTGGTATGACCTTTTTTAGAGGTTGTTTTTCACATACTGTGACACTTCAAAAAAAAAGTTCCAGTTGATGAAAATGCAGGGAGGTCCCTGTATGCCTTTAATTGCATCATTTCATTTAATTTAACTTCATACCTGTACTAGTAACAGTTGGGGGCATGTGGGAGGAAAGATGGGATATTTCTTTGAAAAGTGGTAGTATGTAAAGCAGAATAGTAGTTCGGATTTTGAATATGTGCACACTGTAACTCTCATTTGTTCTTGTTAAACAGCATACTTAAATCTGTTATGCCAGCTTTCTAGAATTCCTAGAGGTAGAATGTAAGCAGCTTTTAGTTTCAGTGACGTTTCTGCTGTTAAGTGAGTCCTTTCTTAGGAGGTAACTTTCAATTTGTGCTTTCATAATCCTCTTTGAGACAGAATCTGTTCAATTACAGTAGTACTTTACAGTAATTGCTCAGTAATTTTTTGTCTTAATGTATGTTACTACTTTCATTTAAATAGAGGATTTTAATCCAATTAAGCTGCAAAACCGCAACCTTCTAAAACATAAATAAGATTAAATAAATGATCTAAAATTATTTCTAGCACATTGAAAGTAAGAACTATAAGAAATAAACCATGGTTTGACTGAAATATTGTGGGAGGGATTCAAAATAAGGTATAGTATTTTTAAAACTATCTCATTCTAATAGAAATACTATAATAATAGCTATTCAGCTGACTTTTTAGTCTTCTGACTCTGAAAAATACAGACATGACTTGGTACAATGCCAAAGACAGAAGAGTAGTAAATACTGACAATACCACTACTTGTTGTCAAGCCTGTTTCACTTAAGAGGGAAGGGATTTGGAATAACTTCATAAATATTGCATTAGAACTTTATTACAGGGATTAATATTTACAATTTTAAACAGCGGAAATGAAAAAGCAAAGGGAATTTTATCACAAGCTGGGCATGGAAGTTCCAGGGGACATCAAAGGGGAGACATGTTCTACCAAACAGCACCTAGATGCCCATCGGAATGGTAACTGGTCATTTATTTGTTTTGTCTTGGTGGGTGATGGCTAGTAAGTTGATGTACAGGCTTGTTGGAGGTATGTGCCTCGTTGGTTTATTACAGTTACAGTTGTTCAGTAACACTGCACAATACAGTGAGAGTAGGATTCTTGCTTTGTTTCTTATTTGTGCACAAAATCTTCTTTTTCTGTAGTTGGGCATAGCATATTGCTCTATGTGAAGGAGGTCTCCATAGTAGTGCCTGTATGGAGATTCTCTGAAATTACCCAGCTCCTGAGCTGCTAGCAGTGGAACTGAAGGTTGTGCTCTGCTTGTATCCCTCTTTCATGCATGGAGTGTTGGCAGCTAGCGTTGCCTAAGCAGATAAGCACACTTTGGGAAAAGCAAAGTTTATTCTGTACTGCAGTCCTGACCTGTGCTGGTTTAATCATATTTGCATTATGAGCTGCTGCTCTTATCGCATGTATCTGGTTTCTTATCTAAGGTGAAACTAAAACAGATGAAAATTCCAACAAAGAAGCTTCTGAGGAAAAACAGGAAGAAGATAATGACTACCACCGAAGTGATGAACAGGTGAGCTCATTGGGTGTGTTTTACTTTTACATTGCATTTTATCTTTAGTGCTTTGGTAAGCTAACAGAAAAGAAATATAACTGTTTCAAGCTACCTTTTCTGTCCTCTGATACAAACAAGGTGCAGTGTTGCCTAATGCTTTTGTGTAAGCATAAGTTTCATGTTTGGGTTTTGGCCAGAATTTAGAACGTGTTAAAGACATTTGCATTAAGATTTGATAGTTCTGACTGTGAGTTTCCAAAGTATTTATTTTCTTTCAAAACAAATTCAGGTTACTTGGCTCCCCTTCTGAAGAAGTGTATCCCACTGTTACTGTGACACATTGAGCTGATTGTGTATCAATAATTATGAATAAAACCTTTTGCAGTTTTACTTACTTAGTGTTTATTTTGTTTTAAAACTCTACTACTACAACACTGTTTAGCCTATACCATAAAAATAGTATGAAAGCCAGAAAGTTCACCATGAAGTTTTAAACACAATGCATGTTTGAAAGTGAAATCTCCTTTAGGGATAAGCAAGCCATCCTTTTTAGTGTTTTACTGTTATGTGTGTCCAGAGTAAATTAAACTTGTATTCAATTTCTTTATAATTGTAGTGTAAGAAAACTTTAAAAGAGGTTGTGCCTAGTACTGGATCCTCATAGTGCACAAAGTAAATCATCACAAAGAGCTTAGTTTATGTAATTAGTAGCTGGATGAGAAAAGTGAGAACTGAGCCCTTTTGGATGGTTAATCTTTAGAATTTTAAAAATTTATTTTGTCTTTTGTATCCACTCTTTAAACTTCAGATTCTCTTACATGTGTTAAAATTCTGCTTTAATCTGGATATAGCAGTTGCTTTAAAAGCAAGAAGTTATGTTAGAAGCAGTAAAATAATTTGCAATGCTGTTCTTACTGTTTCTTACTCTGGCTTTTGACATAGGATCCTCTTGAGTTATTAGCAGCCTTTTTCCAACATTAAAAACTCTTTTTTGAACTTTTTTGTCTAGATCTGTTTTGGTTGGAGTAGTGTTTATCACTAAACAAGATGTTAGAATATGTTTTCTTCAATAGTACTACAGGCTTTTCAGTTTAAGGAACACTGGTACTGTAGTTTTTCACTTAATAAAAATGCATAGGGAACACATAATGAGGCCTGCAGAAAATTGTTGCAGCCAACTCTGACTCTTTGCTTTTTCCTGAAGGTAAGCATCTGCTTGGAATGCAATAGCAGCAAATTGCGTGGATTGAAACGAAAATGGATTCGCTGCTCAGCACAAGCCACAGTCCTGCATCTAAAGAAGTTCATTGCCAAAAAACTTAACCTTTCTTCTTTTAATGAGGTAATATTTTAATTTTTAAAATTATTTTGCAGATATAAAAACCTTACAAAAAGTGTGGGATTATTCCTTTGCAAAGGAATGTCTTCTAGTCTGATTTTATTTTCAGAAAACAGGAGCATATACCATTTCTTGAATTATGTGTTCCTTAGCCATTTTCTTGCCATTTCTTGGATCTATACAGGACTTGTCAGTTCATTTGCAGTGTGTATTTTCATGTCCATCTATAAATAGTTGAGCTGAAAGGCTGGTTATATGATTCCACAATTGTTGAAATGGACTCTGGCAAGGGACTTTGACAGCTTGTAGTCAGGTATACCCCACTCTTTCAGAGATTTCACACTCAGTGCAGGAGACAGGCAGTAACACTCACTTTACTGAAGCCCATTGTAAGAAAAAGCAGCACAAATCTTTTGTTTCTTTCTATGCTTTCAGTGAATCTCAACCTGGTTACTGTCTACAATGAGCAGAGTGTTATCAGGCACCGGCTTTTCTCTTCCTTTTCAGGGAATACTTGGAATCATGGGAAAACTTTATGGTGAAACGTACAGAAAGAAAGGCAGTTCTTTGCGTTTTTCCTAGTTCAGATTTGAAATCAACAGTGATGAACATATGAATGTAGCCTCAGTTTACCACTTTGCTGGGTCTTGGTCACAGTCTCTAGACATCTCAGTTGACTCAGCTTGACATCTCCCAACCCGACATTGTCACTCATTCACTAAATTTCATTAAGACTTTTCATGCAGATCAAATAATCTGTTTTCCTATCCAATTTGTCACCTGCCTACTCAAACTTTTCAATAACCAATTTGCATCTGTATCACTCTTTCTTCCTAGCTTCTGTATACTTCAAACCAACACTCTTGCCTTATGGTCGATCTATGTCTCCAAATTCTGCTAGTCTTCCTAAAACAAAACTGTATCTCCTGTCTTGTCCTCAGCTGGTTTGGCAGTGGTTGGCTCCTGACTGTAGCCAGCGGCAACACAGCTGCCATCACTGTTGAAAAGGGGATATTTTTAATGTGTGTGTGTTTAAGCCCATCCATTACAGTGTGCCAGTCTGTGATTTAACAACCTGCTTGGCTTTCACTGAAGGAACAACTAATGTTTATTCCTTTGCCATCCTCCCCTAGCTTCTTAAAGGGTACATAAACTGTGGTGTAATCAGTGTACCAGTACCTAGTAATAGGTTCATAGTAGAAGGATTTAAGCGTGTGGGCTCTTGGTTAATTGCTATAGACTATTGCAGGTTTGAGTTATTGCCAATTAGATAAGCCACGTATGTGGAGTACAATGCACTTTCACACCTTTCTGGGTTGTGTGGCAAAGCATTGTTAGCATAAGACAGCTTGGTGGAATTTAGTGTTTTCATGTGTGTTCCCTGTTTTAGTTCATGTTCTGCTGTTATATTTCAGCTGATTAATAGTCATATGATCCTCGTGTCTTTATGTTTATATCTTCATTGTTCCTAATATTGAGATCTTTCAACACTGAGATAGAAAAGTAAAAATAGCTATTGTGTATCTGCAAAAAAACCCTAAATATAGTATGTGAGGGAGGTGGTAGACAGGTTTTTAAGAAATGTATCCTTGTAGCAGAAAGCCACCTGGCTGGTGTTAGGTAAAAAAATTTCATAGTATGTCAAATAACAGAGCTGTCTTTGAGATCTGTGAATTCCGTCTCCTTGATAATTTTATTGGGCCTATTTAAAAGCATGTAAAGCTTTCAGAAAGGGGCATTAGATCTGCTTGGGAAGCTGAATCAAACACTGAAGTCTGGTTCATACAGTGTTTCCTGGGTAGGCACAGACATGATCTTTCAGCACTTTATGTTGAAAAAAGACACTCTCTTTCCTGGTACTATTTTTGTCTGCAGAGCAGCTGTAAGATGAACAGCCCCAGTGTCTTCAAGAGAAAAAAAATCTTGCCAGACATTTGTGGTATTATCTGAAATACGTTGTTTCATGTACTGTGTCCCAATGAACTAACTGTTGCCTTTGTTTTGTCAGCTGGACATATTATGCAATGAAGAGATTCTTGGCAAGGACCACACACTCAAGTTTGTAGTTGTTACTAGATGGAGATTTAAGGTATGACTCAGTGGTTCTAGGTAAATCATGAAGTAGCCAAATAAAATGTTTACAAAAAAGGCATCATTTGAAACTATGTCTCAGTAACTGCAAACTTGATATAAAGATTATTTAATAAGCATCTAATGCAGCAGCCTTAAACACCAAGTATTAATTTTATTTTCAAGAATAGGAAGGGGAATTAAGTATTAATCGCAAGGGGAAAGGGAAAACTGTATCAACTGTCAAATTGTTATCAAGTCTGGCAAAACAAGTGGAAGCCACAGGAAAGTGTTATTTTAACTATTTCAGGTAAAACTGGTTTTAATCCACATAGGTAGGGAAATTGTGATGCAGGAAAGACAGAAATTTTCAACACAGTTCTCTTCTGTAGCTAAGAAGGCTGTTTTACTTCTAAAGGAGAGGCAGTAATTGCAGTGCTTGTCTGCCTTAGTTAAGGAGACTTCTAGCAGCATTTAGTACGTATAAACAAGGCTTGTTAAAAACACTTGAGTACATCTTTGACTTCCTTATTGTGGTTTCTTTAAAAATCTTCATTGAGACTGAACAGTGAACAGTGGGGCATTCTTTCTGAGTATTAATTACCCCATTAATAATGGCAACTCAAGTAAAAATTAATTGCAGAATTGAACACCTGCAGAGTCAGTGTATGTGTATTTGGGGATATTTGAACTGGGGACTTAGTGCTCATAATGGACAAGCAATGGAATTTGAGCTCACAGTGTCCACTGAGGTAGAACCACTTGATGGCTTTGGGTGTCTATCTTAAAGAGGTGCAGGTGAGAGCAGGGAGGTTTTTTTCCTGTCTTTGCGTAGAAAAGTAATTGATATGCTAAGAGCCACAGGATAAAAGTCAGTAGTCAGTCTTTGAAATGCAGAGATGTCATGAGTGGAATCCTACTGGAATCTCTTTTATGTGATGTTCCTGAATGACCTGGAGGGGGATTTGAGTAGTGCAGTAACAGTACACAGACAATGGTGTGGTTATTTAGGATAGCAAAGACAGAATGATGACAAGGATTGAAGAAAGCCTTTGCAGTTCTGAATGACAGGAGATCAGTGAGTACCTTAAGTTCAATGTAGGTAAATATAAAAGGGTACAAGGCAAATGTTAGGGATTTTTGTGGTGAGGTGGGTGGAAGAACCAAATGAGCTTCAAATTTATGTGCATCTGTACAAGTTGACTATTCACTTTTGTGATGGAAATTATGTAGTTTTGAGTCACATGGAAAAGGGAACTGTAAACTGCCTCCTCAACAGAAAGAAGTGTGTGGGATGTAAAATGAAACTGGGGAGGTGGGAGGTCCAGAACAGACAAGAGGAAGCAGTTCTTTACATGAGACACAGAGCTCCTTGGTGCAGGATGCTGTGGATTTTAGAAGTTTCCCTGTTCATAAAAAAGCAATGGATACATTAACAGAAAAGAATCAAGGGAGAGCTGTTAAATAGGAAGTACCACATCCTCCTATGCTGCTTTCTAAACATGTACATTTCTCCCTTACTGGGAATGGGTATTTCAAGTTGAACAGACCTGGTAGAACTGATCTTAAGGTGATCTGTACTTGAGACAAAAGGGAAAGGAGTCTTTGTCGTGTTTGAGCTCCAGAGATGAAATTGCATCTTGTCTTTGGCTTGGTGAAATTTTGACAGATCTCGTAGCTACCCTGGTAGTTAATTTAAGCTTTAGTTTATGAAACAAAAGTTTTGAAAACTGAACAGATTAGTTCATGATTTTGTTTCTTATCTTACCTGGTATTTCTTTCTTGCAGAAAGCACCTCTACTGCTACATTACAGACCCAAAATGGACTTACTGTAAGAGAACTGTATTGTCCTTCTGGACAGAGATTTTGCAGAGACTATCTGGCACCTTCTTAGTGCATCACTAATCACATGACACAAACCAGCTGAATAATTTTGGAAGACTGTAGTGCTTTCATAGCAGACTGTTCTTCTGAATACTTCTTCTAAGGATGTGTTATCTAGATTTCTGAACAGAAGATATTTATACTTTTTTTGTATGGAAGAAAGAAGTCTCAACAAGACACTACCAGCACTAAGTTTACAGATACTGAAAACACTTCACAGTTCCATGTAGCTCAGCCTAATTTATCTCTTACAGTTACACAGAAATAAGTTAGAATGTTGTGGGGTGATTTAAAAATGTTGCTTTTGACACCAAGTTGCATTTAGTTACTTTTCACATTCTGAATCTTTAAAAATTATATTTTTGCAAAGTGTTACTGTCTTATATAGTATGCCTGATTGCATTGGCTTTATTCAAGTTGTTCTGTAGAGCATTGAACATACCTGATGATACAGTGACTGGTGATAATTTATTATGCTGCATTGAAAATGTCTGAAAACTCGGGAAACCAATAAGTTTGTCATTTTTGCCCAGTTATTGCTCTCCCTCACTTTGTGTTTTAGTAAAGTTCTGATACTCCCTTTTGCATGTTGATTTAGTAAGATTAATAGAAATAATTTCAGTTAATTTTAATCTGCCCGGATACTTTGCTGTGGCATAAATTGCACCACATAATGACAAATATTCAAAAGTGCTAGATTTGTGAGCTTTAAAAAACAAAACAAAACATTTCTTATGTGGTTGTGGCTTGCAGAAATCAGTTTTTAATTTAGAGGCAGTTTGCTCTCACTAGCTATTGAAACACTGGCTCTTGGGCAACTTTGGGTGATACTGCACAGTTCTCACTTCACCGATTAAAAACTCCTCAGACCATTATGAGCAGCTTTATATTTCCTTTACCTGTTTTCTAGCGCAATTCCTAGTTGTCTTGGAGGGAGGAGATGGGCATCAGACAAGATTATTTTAGCACCTTCTGGCCTTAACTGATAATTTTGCTTGCATCAGCCTTAATGGATGCAAGGTAATAGACATGCATGTATATATGTGTGCATACATCTATACATACATATAACTATATATGTTATAGAATGCACCCTCTATAGCACTTAGGAGAGTTCACTGCACTGTTTGTAAGGCTTTTTGAAATAGTTGGCTTCTTAAAAACAGTACTTGAAAGTGATTTCTGCAAGCTATAGTATGTAGTATAGCATATATAGTGTAATTGTGAGAGTATTTGGCGCAGGTGTCAACTCACTGACAACAGGCTAAGCTATATTATTGGCAGCTGGAAATAGTTAACCTTCTAATTTTTGGAAGAGTTTTGCAATCAGCTGAAAATGTCTAGTTGCTGTTCCTGTTAATAAACCCTGTTATTTTTTGATAGATTGTCTTTGGATAAGAAAACAAGTTTGCCTCTAACTGCCGTGCTTCCCCTAGCTGTGCTCCTTCCCCTCATCTGCTAGAAAGTATTACTTGTTAACAGGAAGCTGATACTGCAAGAGGTTTGTCCAAGCATTTTAAAACCTCTTCCTCTTCTTGAGTTTTTAAAGCACCAGATTCCTCAGCATGTGTCCTGTAATTTCCTTCTTTGGAGTCTTCAGGCCTCCTTTCTCAGCTCTGCTGCTGCAGAAGGGATGCTCCAGCTTTTGTTTACCTTTGGAAACAGGGTTCCTTATTTTTTATTAAGGGAAACAAATCAAAAAGTATGCAAGCAGAGAATGAAAGGGAGCGTACTGAATTGTGGATATGGAAAGGAGAGCCACACAAAGGCCAAAAAGTGCTGCTGTCCTTGCAGATGAGGGTGTAGGATAGCTGCGTTTGAATGTTTGGGTTAGGTAGAACTACATACAAGCTAAGTTGCTGGGTTTGTGTCTATGTGTGCATGCATATGAGCAATGGAATCAAACTTGTCTCTGGTTTTATCTTGCTGTTTGTGGACTCATATATATGTATTTTAGCTTTTTTTCCTGTTTAACATTACTTGAACTGGCAGAAGAGAACAAAGGAGACCACGAGTGTACTGTTTTTTATAATCTATTCATGAAACAGTGAACGCAGGTGGTATGGATGTGTATGCAGACTGACATTCTGGGTTTTTCTGGAGCTGTTTATGTGGTTGTTACTGTCCTAGTGTAAATAAGGGGCTGGCTTTAGCCAGTGAGGCACTGAGAGTATGATCAGGGCTTTAAGTGTCCACCCTCTGTGCACCCTCAGTATACAGACACTGGCTGTACCTGATGTAGACATAAAATTAAAGCATTCTGATTAACCACCTTAATCAGGAGATATATATATATATATACACACACACTTAAAAGCAAATATATATATATTTTTGAGATCTGTCTACCTCAGAATGTGTACTGCAGAAACATTTTGTACGACTAGATACTGATGCAGTGCAGTTAAACTACATTGGAATTTTAGCACTTTCTGTGTACTTGTACAACTGAGAAATTAGTTATGAACATGCAAATTCAGAAGCCTTTCAAATCTGTCTCTTGCTGTAACAATCTACAGTACAGAACATAAAAGTTTATAACCATCTTTAGAATCACTTGAATTTGTTATGGTGCTATCAATATGTCGAAAACTGTGTATACCTATATGGATACATAAATTCAAGCCAGTATTAATACCTACAGCTGTTTTGGGTTTTTTTTGCCTCGTAATTGTGTGTAACTACTCTTGCAATGTGTTTAATCTGATAAAACCTCACCAGTAAAAAGAAAAAGGAAAAAAAAATTGCAAAATCACACTGTTAC